AACGAGATCGAGTGAGAACGCGAGCGAGCGAGCGAGAGATTGAGAGCGAAAGAGAGAGAGAGAGAACGAGATCGAGTGAGAACGCGAGCGAGCGAGCGAGAGATTGAGAGCGAAAGAGAGAGAGAGAGAACGAGATCGAGTGAGAACGCGAGCGAGCGAGCGAGAGATAGAGAGCGGAAGAGAGAGAGAGAACGAGATCGAGTGAGAACGCGAGCGAGCGAGAGAGAGAGTGAGAGCGAAAGAGAGAGAGAGAACGAGATCGAGTGAGAACGCGAGCGAGCGAGAGATAGAGAGCAAAAGAGAGAAAGAAACACGCCGTACAGTAAGACGTTAACGATGCTGCTAGCTGCTACTCACATCCACCCCTCGTGTCGTACGGCGCCGCGCCGCGCTGAGTGAACAGTCGGCCCAGCTTCATGGCCCTGCTGCGACCCCTCAGATGATCCGCTATGCCACTCAGCCCCTCGCCGCCGCCGTATCCGCCGCCGCCGCTGTAGCCGCCTCCGCCGCCCCTAACCATTCCTCCTACCCTCCCTCGCCTTCCGTAACCACCACCCATCCCGTCTTCCTGTTCCCCGTAACCGTCTCCTCCCCTGTAGTCGTCGTTGCCCATGCCTGCGCTGGCCATCCCTCGTTCTCGGTATCCTCCCCCCATGCCTCCCCCTCGTTCTCGGAAACTGCCGCCGCCCATGCCTCCCCCACGCTCTCGAAAACCGCCGCCCATGCCTCCCCCACGCTCTCGAAAACCGCCGCCCATGCCTCCCCCACGCTCTCGAAAACCACCGCCAATGCCTCCCCCACGCTCTCGAAAACCGCCACCTCCTATTCCTCCCCCTCGTTCACGAAAACCGCCACCCCCTATTCCTCCCCCTCGTTCTCGGAAACCGCCGCCCATGCCTCCTCTACGCTCTCTAAACCCTCCGCCTGATTCCGTGAAACCGCCGCCCATTCCGCCTCCCCTCCCTCCATATCCACCCTCCATTCCACCGGCGCGGCCGCCTCCAAAACGACCTGCATCAGAGAAAGGACAACGACAAACTTCACGTTAGTATGCGACAACATCTTCGCTCGTTATGCGATCGCAAACGAAAAAATAATTAGAGGATTTTCACATGCAGGCGCATTAACATTGTAACTTGTCAGCTGTTGAAAAGTAAACCGAACTGCTCACTACACTAGAGTAATTTCACATCGTAACCGGGTTGTTACGCCAGCGCATATATATATATATACAGCCCTCGACACTAACGGTTGTCCGATTGCCCGGGACAAGTGAAAGTCTATGTCGGACAAGTTATTCTCTTGCCAAGTTGCCCTATCGGACAACTGAAAAGTTCTAGTTGTTTAAAATTCTTAACATCCTCTGAGCCAGGGCGCTATCGCACCACATTCTCACTTCAAACGTTTTCAAAGGTCCCTGAAAAAAGCAGCCCACGACACCCACTGTTACCATTACAGATTTATTCAGAGCGGCAATGCGTACCTCCCTGGCCGGGGCGGCATTGATTTATGTACTGGGGTGGGGGTACGATTGTTTATAAGTTGGTTGGGGCATATGTAGGGGGTGGGCATCGCTGGGATGAGAGGACGACAGCAAAACTCTTTCCTGTGATTGAGGAAAAAGCTGCAATCGGTAATGACACACAATGAGCGTGCCAGCATGCAAACATAAACGTGTGAATTTCATTACGATTTTACATGTACTGTATTTACTCGTGTATAAGTCTCACCATATATTTTGCATTAAAAAGTTGGTACAAACATTGGTACATTAACAAGATTTCTTAGCCTCGTCTATAAGTGGCACCCCCTGATTTTTTTTATTGAAGTTGTGTACAAAAAGCGCGGTTTACACACAAGTAAATACGGTATATATACTGTAAGTGTAATACACACGCACGCACGCATGCAAACGCGTGCGCAGACACATGCCTAGGTATGTGCGAGCCTATATGCACGCAGGAAATACTGGCAAAAATATCAGGAGTGTATAATATATATATATATACCTACATCTATCTATATATACATTATATGTATCTATTTATATAATATAGATCTCTATATTATACACTCCTGATAATATGATATGCACTGAACCAAAAGAGGACATTAACGGCTCATAGATTGCACAAGTAAATTTTGGACAAGTAAAATCAAAATTCGGACAAGTAAAAATTGATTCTTGTTGCCCGACAGGACAACCAGATCTGAAAATAAGCATCGAGGCCTGATATATATACACCATAATTACCTTCACCCAACGGAGTTGGAGGAGGTTATGTGATCGGTCTCGTGTGTTCGTGTGTTAGTGTGTTTGCGCGATCGATATTAACGCGTCGAGTCAGCGAGCCAGCCAGCAGCAGGCCAGTCAGTCAGCAGCAGCCAGCAGCGAGCCAGCTCGTAACCCATACATGTTACATGGGGCGTATGGCATATGTTGCTGGCGGAGGTATGCACTCCGTGAGTGCCCTCTGTCTAGTTTAGCATTGCGAATAGAATAAACCACAGAGTTGTGTTCAGCCAAATTCTAGCTCCCAAAAAACTATGCGTGTGAGAAACACACGCTAAAACATCACCACACGAGAGTAATTCGCAGACCAAGACACGACTTGTGTCACCGCACACACGCCCCCACCCCTTGCTACCATCGCTGCGTCGCACGCCCTGAAGCCTCCTCCGTCACCCCCTCTTCCTCCTCCTCCGCTCCTCCTTACCTTGCTGCCCGAATCCTCCTCCGTCACCTCCTCTTCCTCCTCCCTGGCCGCGGTACCTCCCGCGGAACTCCTCCTCCGCCACATCGTCCGCGTAGTAATCGTCCACGTCCATGTCGAACCGGCACGCGACGTTGCTCCTCCCGTATCCGCCGCCACCTCCGGGATGCATCATTTCCTCCTCATCCACGTCGTGTCCGCAGCCGCCGCACGTGTGGCCGCCGCCGCCGCCGCCGCCGAATTCACGCTCGTGGCCGCGGAAGCGTTGCCGCTGGCCGCCGCCGTAGCTGCTGCCGCCTGAAAGGTTGGGGTCAGGGGTCAAGGTTGGGGGTCGGAGGGGAAGGACATTAGACGGGGCAGGGGTGTCTGAGAGTGGACACTCTACCTGCCTCCCTCTCTTCCTTCCTTCCTATGTCCCTCCCTCCCTGCCTGCTTCCCTCTATTCTTACCTCCGTCTGCCTGCCTGCCTGCCAGCCTCTCTGCTCGACTCCCTCCCTGCCTGCATTCCTCCTCCCTACCTCTCCGCCTGCCTCCTTCCCTTCCTCCCTCTCCGCCTGCCTCCTTCCATTCCTCCCTCCCTGCCTGCCTTTCTCTTTTCCTACCTCCCTGCCTGCCTCCGTCTGCCTGCCTGCCTGTCTCCCTACATACAGCCTCTCTGCTTGACTCCTTGTTTGCATTCTTTCCTCCATACCTCCCTGCCTCCCTTCCTACCTTCCTGCCTGCCTTCCTCCTTTCCTACCTACATGCATGCCATCCTCCCACTTTGCCTCCTTCCCTTCCCACCTCCCCGCCTGCTTCCGCCCCTTTCTCCCTCCGTGCCTACCTTCCTTTCTCATTACCTCCATCTGCCTACCTGCCTCCCTCCCTGCCTTCCTCCTTCCATTCCTCCCTCCCTGTCTGCCTTTCTCCCTTCCTGCCTGCCTTCCTCCTTTCCTACCTCCCTGCCTGCCTTCCTCCCTCACTGCCTCCTTCCCTTCCCACCTCCCCGCCTGCTTCCGTCCCTTTCTCCCTCCGTGCCTACCTTCCTTTCTCATTACCTCCATCTGCCTACCTGCCTCCCTACCTGCCTTCCTCCTTCCATTCCTCCCTCCCTGTCTGCCTTTCTCCTTTCTTACTTCCCTCTTGACCTACCTCCCTCCCTACCTGCCCGCCTGCCTCTTTCCCTTTCTCCCTCCCTCCCAGCCTGCCCCCCTCCCTCCTCTGCTAGCCTCTTCTAACTCTGAGGAGCTCGATAGTGACTAGACGATGACTCACCGGAGTAGCCCTCGTCGCCATAGCGATCGCCGCGCGAGTTGAAGCCGCCTCCCCAGCTGTGATTGTCGTTGTGGTTGTCTGTCGCAAACAATGATGTGCGTCGTTAGCATCATTCCCACCTACAGGGATCGTTTCAATCTCATCGGGTTAGGGTTAGGGTTAGGGTTGGGGTTATGGTTCGGGTTTTGGTTTGGGCTAGGGTTAGGGTTAGGGTTAGGGTTAGGGTTAGAGTTATAGTTAGAGTTATAGTTAGAGTTAGGCTTGGGGTTAGCAAGATGAAACAAACAATGCCTGCATTCATTTGTCAACGAGATGCTCTGGAATATTTCAAAAGTCAACTCTACGCTTGTTTTCCGTATTTTAATTTTGTTTAAATAATTACTTCATTTCCCGATTTGTCACAAACAGGTTATAGCAAATGCAAAATACATTTAATTACACACCTTGATGATTTGATATGTACATATACATGCATACACCGCGGTTAATGCTTGTTGGTATGCAGATTCTTACCTCCACCACCACCGCCTGCTTTTCCAGAGTCGTGTCCCTTATTTGTAAAGGCTTTCTTTACCTCTACTTGGTGTCCATTAAGCGTGATATGCCTAATCACTGAAAGTAGACAAATAAACAAAAAATAGATTACAATTTTTTTTTATAAATGTCTTCTAATTTTGTTTGCTAATGGATAAATTTTCGAGTCTCCTCAATTAGAACAAAACTACGTTTAGAGAGACTAGCGTTGCTGTGGAACATGACCATACTGTGACTGTGTGTGGTTTCCCTACTACTGCTGCTGCTATTACTATCTACTCCTAGTACTACTACTACTGATGCTGCTGTTGCTGCTGGGAGCTGCTATGTGACTATCGTACTTCTTAGTACTACTAGCTTACTAACTCGCTGCTTGCTGTCTGTGGCTGCTGCTATTACATATCCGTTACTGTGCCTAGTACTACTAACTGGGCATGCTGCTGCTGCTGGATTTACTATCTACCTTGCTATGTAGCGTTACTTACTACTGCTGCTGCTGTTTTTTTTACGGGAGCTCTTTTTCAAAAGTCTGTGGAAAATTTTTTTACGCGAGCTATTTGGAGCTCGCCGGGAGTGATTTCGGAGGTTTGAAGAGGCGAATCCTCAATGCTCCTGTGATTTTTTACCCTGCTGGTCACCGAGCTACTCCGTTCGCTGCTGTTGCTACTGTGGCTGCTGAACTTTGACACGCTTTCTCTCTCAACACACTACTACTTCACAGGCGTGCGCGCGACCTTAACCCTCGAAACTACTGCACACACCAGCGAGTTTGTCGACGGCGGTCGGTAGTTCGTCGAACGCGACGACAACGCGATCCTCGCCTCTTGTTTTTCCCTGGACCTGTGTTGAGTGTCACCGCGCAGACCGGTTCACGGTGCCCCGGTAGCGGGGCCTGAAATGAATCCCGGCAGCAATTGCTCGGTCAACGTCAGATGCAGGCCCGCCAGACAAACACTAATTCTTGATGTTGGAACGGTAAGTCGACGTTTCGCCACCTGCCGTCGAACTGCGCGCTCAAACAAAGATTATTATATTAAGCGTGTTCGTTATCAAGATCGTTAATTATAAGCATGCCGACATTTGTTTTGTCACGCAAATTCCATGCTAGCATTAGTCGATGCCATCGAGAAGTGACATGGAGATTTAAAGATTATTCGCTGGCGCGCGTTTGTTAGATAAAGTCGTTATCACACACGCACAACAATTTGCTTTTGTCACGGCGCAAGCGTGCGTGGAGTCGGGCATTGGCTTAACCTTGCTAGTGAATGTGGCAACACAAAATTTAACGCACTTCATGATGTTCGTAAGCGGTACTGCATTCTGTTTATAACTACCCACATATACATACAGCTTTCACCGCAACACTCACCTCTTCTCGGCGGCGGCGCGTTGCATCGGGTGGTGGGGCACCTGCACGGGTCGGGTCAGGCGGTGTGCGCGTCTCACGTACACTGCACCTCTCGGGGCGCCGCGGCGTTTTCCTCTCTCACCTCTCTCACGTTGGCACGCACCTCTGGTGCGCGCCTTCTCTCGGTCTCATCTCACGACTCTGCTCTAGCGAGGTCACTCACGCTGTCTGACGTACCGCCCGCTCCTCGCCGGCGCGCGCCTCTCATGCTCACCGCTGCCCACGACCTCTCGCGCGCGCGCGTCTCGATGCCACCGGAGGCCACCTCTTCGCCGGGGCGGCAAGCTGCTCTCATGCTCACCCAGCTCTCGCAGCATGGTATGCTCACTTTCTCGGCCCGGCGTGATTTCGCGGATCGCGTCTGTCATGCTACCCACCCACGAGCTCTCGCCAGCGTTGGATACGCTCGACTTCTCGCGGCGCGCACTCTCACGCTCAACCCCGCACGCTCTCGCGGGCGCGCGGCTCTCACGCTACACGGCCACCTCTCGCCATAGTGTGGTAGCGCTCACCTCTGGCGCGGCGCGCGCTCGGGGTCACGCGCACCCACGCTTCGCGACGGCGTGGTACGGCTACCACTCTCGCGCGGGCGCGCTCTTCTGACGTGCACGGCCACCTCTCGCGGCGTGGTTACGCTCACACTCTCGCAGCGCGCTCGTCGATGCTCACACCACGCTTCGCGCACGCGCTCTCATGCTCACCCACCTCTCGCGGCGGTGGTACGCTCCTTCTCGCGGCGCGCTCTCAATGCTCACGACCTCTCTGGACCACGCTCTTCGCGGCCCGCGCTCTCATGCTCCCCACCTCTCGCGGCGTGGTAACGCTCACCTCTCGGCAGCGCGCTCATCATGCTCACCCACTCTCTCGCAGGGCGGGCGAAGCTTTCATGCTCACACTCAGCTCCCTCCGCGTGGTACGTCACTCTCTCGCGGCCGCGCTCGTCATGGCTCACGCCACTCTCCACCCGCGGCACCGGCTCTCATGCTCACGCCACCTCTCGCGCGTGCTCTCTCAGCTGCTCACCCACGCTCTCCGTGGCGGCGGTAGGCGCAGCGGCTCTCATGGGCGCCGCCTCTCATGCTCCAGGGGCACCGCTCTCCACGGCGCGCATGCATCTCACGGCTCACCCCACTCTTCGGCGGCTGGTAGCGAGTCACCCTCATGCGGCGCCGCTCTCCATCTCACCCAACTCTCCGCGGCGGGGGCGCCTCTGCGACGCTTCACCCACCTCCTCCGCGGCGCCTGCGCTCTCACGCTCACCGCGTTGATGGACCACCTCCTCGCGGGCGTGGTAAACCGCTACACCCTCGTCGTGGACGCGCGCTCTCATGCTCACAACCCCTCTCACGGCCGTGTGCTACGCCCAACAGCTTGCGCGGATATAAAATACCGTCAGACCGGACACTCTCGCGAACGTGGTAGTCGGGGTCCCACAATATATAGCGCGGTCTACGCCACGCTCACGCCACCTCTCGCGGCGTGGTACGCCCCGTTCACCTCTCGGGGCGTGCGGCTCTCTGCTCGACGGGTTCACCTTGTCCCGGTCGTCGCGGCGTGTACGCTCACCAGCGTGTGCTCGCGGCGCGCGCTCCTCATAGCTGCACTGACGAGCGTGCATCTCTCGCGCGGCGCAGCTCTCATGCTCACTCACATCTCGCGCGCGCGCTCGTCACGGCACCCACCTCGGTGCGGGGCGTGGTAAGCTCACCCTCCGCGGAGGTCTCACTTCTCGAGACGCTCACATTGGCACCACCTCTCGCGGCGCGGATACGCTCACGCTCTCGGCGGCTCACAGCTCTCGAGACGCATCACAGCCACGCTCTCGCGGACGCGGTACGCGATTTAATAAATACGCGGCGACGCTCGTTCAACAGGCTCACACCAGCTCTCGCGGCTTGGTACGCTCACCTCCTCGCGCGGACACGCTCTCAGACCTCACTGAGGCCACCTCTCGCGGCGATGGTACGCGTGCACGCGGTAACTCTCGCGCGATCTCGCTCTCCCCCACGCTCGAACCACCTCTCAACGGGGTGGTATGCATCACCGCGTCGTCCGGCGCTCTCAAGACGCTCACCATGACCCACCTCTCGCGGCGTGGTACGCCCACCTCTCATGCGCAGGCGCTTTCTCACGCGTCACCCGGCGCACCTCAACGCGGGGAGCGGATAATCCGCTCCACTGCGTGCGCGGCGCGCCGTTGGGCTCGGCTTCAACCTCGACTGACCCGGCGGGCAGTCGATCGTGTGCGGCCGGTTCTTCATGACGTCGTCGACCTCCGCCGCCCGCCTGTAGGTGACGAAGCCGAACCCTCGTGAGCGATTCGACCCGGTCTCCTTCATGACGACGACGTCCATCAGCTTGCCCCACGTGGAGAAGTAGCCCCTCAGCGCCTCCTCGCTCGTCTTCCAGTTGAGCCCGCCGACGAACAGCTTGCGGAACGCCTCCTTCTCGCTGTCGTCTTCTCCGCCGCCCTGCGGAGGAGGCGGGGGTGGTGGTGGTGTGAGTACGTAGCTGCAATGCTCAACCTGCTTCCACCCTTCCTTCGCTAGCCCGCCACGCGACCTCCCTCCGCCCGCTCCGACCCCTCCGTCAGTCAGCCCCGCTCCCTCCACCCACTCTCACCTCCTTCGGAATGGCTCGTTTCGGCTCAACGACCTTGCCATCGATCTTGTGCGGCTGGGTCTCCTTGAGGCACGCCTCCAGCTCAGCTTCCTTTCTCAGCGTGATGAAGGCAAAGCCTCGAGACTTCGCCGTCGCCGGGTCCTTCATCAGCTTCACGTCCTCCACCTAACGAGGCGTGATTATCGAGGTGTCATTAAAACGGCGTGATTAACATGGAGTGATTACCGTGGCCTGATTACCGAGGCGTGATTAACGAGGTCTAATTAATAAGGCCTGATTAACTAGGTGTAATTAATGGTGTAATTAACAAGGTATCATTAACGAGGTGATTAACTAAAACTAAATAGTGATTTTCCTAAACTAACAGCACCTAATCGTCATCTAGTCACACATTTTAACAAACAAACAACCAAACAATCAAACTAACAAACTAACAAACACAAATGATGAACGTAACTTTACAATCAATGTGATATGTTCTTTAAAAAGATGAACAAGACAAAAAACGAACAAATTGCAGCTCGAAACGCAAACAAAAACAAATTAAAAAACTCGGAAACCTAACAACAATAATAGAAATGATGACGTTTGTGTACCTCGCCCCACTTGGAGAAGTATTCCTCCAGCGTCTCCTCCGTAGTGCGCGGGCGGAGACCACCGACAAACACCTTCCGTGTGTGCTCCTCCTCCGGTTCCTCCTCGACCGCCACCTTCTCCGTCTTCATGGCAACACCGTCGGTCTTACCCCCGCCATCCTCCTCCACTTCCTCTCCGCCCCCTCCATCGTCTGGGTTTTGTCCGTTTTCGCCGGATGGCGCATCGGCGGCATCGAGTGCCTCGTTTTCGTCTTCCTTCCTGTCTTTGTCTTCCTTCCCATCTTCGTCTTCCTTCCCATCTTCGTCTTCCTTCCCGTCTTTGTCTTCCTTCCCATCTTCGTCTTCCTTCCCGACTTCGTCTTCCTTCCCATCTTCATCTTCCTTCCCGTCTTCCTTCCCGCCTTCGTCTTCCTTCCCATCTTCATCTTCCTTCCCGTCTTCCTTCCCGCCTTCGTCTTCCTTCCCATCTTCCTTCCCGTCTTTGTCTTCCTTCCCATCTTCGTCTTCCATCCCGTCTTCCTTCCCGTCATTGATTACGATGACGTCCATGTCCTCGATCTCCTCCATGACTGTGACCTCGTGCTGCGTACAGACATAGACATGGGGATGAAGTGAGTTGCTAAAGTTAATATTTCAAACACAATCTCGTGTTTTCCCCCACTTTTACGACACTTGCCGTTATTGCTTGAGTAACAGCAACTGTCTAGAGTAACAATAAATGTTTTAGAACCTTCGTATTCACCAAAGCATGCATGTTTCGAACAAGTTTCGAAAAGTCGCCCGTTTCGCTGTAATCTTGGACGAGAGCAAAGTGTTTTACAAATTGGTGTAGTGATATATCCGCTGGGAGGTGAGACTATATTTTGCTATATTTTTCAGATTAAGTGTTTCTGAACAAGAATCTTGCAAACATAGCGTTAAAAGCTAAACCAAACTTCTCGCAACCCTAGAGTATGGGCTCAAATGAGCATCACATGTGTACCATGTTGGGCGGAGTTACAACTATCCTCTATGGATCCATCCCGGAATTTCTCCCCGTAGGTTGAGTCCGTATGGTTGGATGGTGTTTAATAGATGGTGGCATGTGTGAAGAGGAGGCCTGTACAACATTAGGTAGCACAGCGGAGTAGTGCCCCATAGAGGCCGTCCAGGCCTCGTCTTCACACATATCTAAGCAGGGTGGTGGGGGGGGGGTGAGATTGACAGATCACCAGCGAACAATGACGACGTAGTATAAATTAGGTGGTCTAGGTTAATTTGTATTGTTGAAGCTGTGGCATTGAGTAATGGGGAAATTGGGAGGTGAGCATTCCTAAAACAATGATGATCATGAAGCACTTGGTATAAACTAGGTTAATTTGTATTGTTAAAGCTGCAGCATTGAGTAATGAAGAATTTTTTTGTGGGGGCGGGCGAACTCTCCTTCCACCAATGACAATGTAGTAAGTATAAACTGTATAAATGTAAATACAGATCATTTGAACTGGGATAAATTGTACTGTGGGAATTGTGGCATCGAGCAATAAAGACTTCTAACGACAATGTAGTATAAACTCATTGTCATAAATTGTTTTGTGGGAATCGCGGTATCGGGTAGTAACGAATTATGGGGAGGGGCAGCGGTGGTGCGGCGGAGAGCACACTGTCACTGGGACTGTGGGCTATAAGTTATGGCATTCGAGTACTGACATTGTAGACTGGTAGACACTGCTGTTGTGGTGTCCGGCTAGGCATTTTATCCCAGTGCAGGGGTAGAAATTAACTTTTGAACTAGGGTGTCCAACGAACTCCCTGCCCTCAAAAAGAGGGAGTCTGCAGCAAAATAAGAGAGTCCGTAGTCTGAAGTTCAAAACTAAAGCATAACAACAATAACGCAGGTGCTTATTTTGAAGATTTATGCAATGCACGTCTGCTAAATGTCCTTTAAATATTTGCTGAAAAAATACGGTAATTCCGCGAGGCTGTGCTCTGGAACAAATTCGTTAGTATGGCAGAATTTTCAAGGAGTCACATGGACTCCTGCATATGTCAAATCAGGGAGTCCGACACAAAATCAGGGAGTATTTGAATCCGGACTCCCGTTAATTTCGCACCCTGCCAGTGTTTGCTTCAGCACCTGCTGTAACAGTAGGCTCATCTTGTCACCACGAGACAAACAATCTCATTCGTACAACAGCAAGAAACCGGAAAAACGTTGTTTTGAAAACACACCAATGCCAAGAGAGCTGCTGAGATCCTGTAAGGTCAGACATTATACCACTGCACGCAACCCAGATAAATGTTAAAAAAAATGTAACCCAAAATGTAAAAAAAAACTTTTGGGTCGCGGCTATTTTCGTGGGTCGGTCGGAGGACAGCAAACATTTTTTAAGGATGGCCTTGATACTTCATTGTGTTAATCGTAGATACTGAGACAAAGGTGGTCGCCGAATTCATCGGCTTGATCTGCTTTGTTACCGGGTTTAAGTTACCACATTTACACTGACACTGTCGTAAAAAAATGTTCATTCTACTTTAATTTTAGCCTTCACAAAGGTGTAGCCTGCAGATTAACCAGGCAACTACAATATTCTACATGCGTTTTTTATTAGAATGTGATCGTGCCGGGTATTTCAATTCAAATTTCACGATCCGTGGAATGTATCCGATTTTCCCGCTGAATAAGTTTACTGTTTATTAGCTCTAGTAGTAGTAATGATTAGTGAATTAAAAACTACCCCGCACTCAACACCGGCTCGTCGCTGATTCGTCGCAGTAACTCTGCTGTAACTGAAAAATCAACGAAAAATCAAGGTAAGGTAATCAAGGTAAAAGTTCAAAGATAAATTTCCAGTTCTTGAAGATATTTACCTTGATTTTTTGTTGATTTTTCAGTTACAGCAGAGTTACTGCGACTAATCAGCGACGAGCCGGTGTTGAGTGCGGGGTAGTTCTTAATTCACTAATCATGGCGGTACACACTACTACTCACGCGTGCGCGACCTTAACCCTCGAAACTACTCACACGCGAGTTTGTCGACGGGGTCGTAGTCGTCGAACGCGACGAACGCGAATCCTCGCCTCTTGTTTGTTCCCTGGACCGTGTTGAGTGTCACCGCCGTCACGGTGCCATAGCGGCCGAAGAATTCCCGCAGCATTCGCTCGTCAACATCAGAGTGCAGCCCGCCGACAAACACTTTCTTGATGTTGACGCGGTAGTCAACGTTTCCCACCTCCTGCGAACGCGCGCGAAACAAATTATTATTTAGCATTCGTTATCAAGTCGTTATTATAAGTGCGACATTTGTTTTGTCACGCAAACTATGCATTAGTCGACATGCAAGAGAGGACATGCATATTCCTGGCGACGCGTTCGTTATTAAGTCGTTATCACAACCACAACATTTGTTTTTGTCACGCGACGCGTGCGTGGAGTCGGCATTGCTAACCTTCTGTGAATGTCCCATGTTGTAAAGTCGCGTCGCCGACGTCGTCTGAACAACGTTTTGACAAGGTACATCGTATCTTTGCCACACTTGCGCGCGGATTACGAGAACAGTGGTTTGCCACCACGTTTAAAGCGCTCGCTAATCGTGGCCATCGCAGTGACAGGGGGTGGATTAATCTGTTGTATGTGGCAAGGTCGAGATGGATTACATCTGCTTCTCATTTGACTATGCGTACTCAGAAAGGTTTATTATCAGAATCTTAGAGCTGCTGATTATTTTCTCTTGGTCTTTAGTGGTTGATAGCTCCACAGTGAAAAGCTGTAATCTCTGGTGATGCGCCCACATTGACGCCAATTTTAATTACGTGCCCTTTCCCTAACCCACAATCTTCTTTTATAATTTCTGTGTAGTTCATTTTAGTGGGCCCCAATAGGCTGTCCCATATACAAAGCGCCTGTAGGATTCCGACATGCTAAAACTGCACTCTGACAACACTATTTTATCTAATTTACGGCCGTGTTAGCATAATCAAATCTCCAGAAATACCTACAAATGCCGTCTGCTTTATTATACCATGTTTACCTACATACAAAAAACACTCTGCCATGCCAGTCATATCCTCCTCTTTACCATCACGTTTAACTTATTAAAACATCAACGAACATAAAAATCACGCAAACTTCACTACATCACAAAACTGCCAATGCTTGCATGAACCGCACCAGAAAAACTCACAAGCGATGAATTCATTGGCACGGTGAGAAATGTTCGTTGAGCGGGTTTCGCAATATACCAAAAGATTATGGCAGCTTTTGTGGTGTAGTGAAGTTTCGTGATATTTTAATTCGTGATGTTTTAATATATTAAACGTGAATAAAGAGGAGAATACTGCATGGCAAGTGTTTTGTAATGTATGTAAGCGTGATTAATAAAGGCGACGGAGCTTTAGGTATTTCTGGATTTTTGATGTAAACACGGCCCGTAAATAGTAAAAGGTTGTCGTGCAGTTTGCATGCGGAATTCACAGGTTCGTCTATGGAAGCCCAGGGAACAATTCCAGAGCCAAAAATCTGCAATGGCAAATGTGCCAATACCAAAATAAAATTTGCATAGCAATTGATAAATTTGTATAGGACATTTTTTCTCAGACAATCACAGTGCAATTACAACCGCAGTGCATGCTTGGCGTGTTTATTCGTCGGGCTCGTGCCTGTGATACATGGCACAGCTGAGCTAAGCTAGACACACAGCGAGTTCTCTCACGCCCTGCCCGCAGCGTTTAATAAACAGCGGTGCGAGCTGGCAACTCGCGCGGCTCGCCAATGTCGAGTAAAATAATATCGGGCCGGCGAGTGAAAGCTATAAGCGTTGACTCGCCCCATGTGCAGGAGTAATAAATAATTGTCTAGAACTTTAAGATTCCAGAATGTTGGTTCCTTACGTTTAATATCCAAAGCATTGAGTTAAATACAGTTCTAAGCGATAGTGAAGGCGCTAGCCGACTTCCTGCGAGCCACGACATCTCACTTACATATTATGCAAGGTCGCCGGAAGAAAGCAGCCCGCCGAGAGCGGCGCAGGCGCCAGCACAGCGTGGCTGTGTATAAACGTGCCTGGGGCGGCATTATTGATTGATGTACGGGGGGGGGGGGGGGAGTGCAAAGGATGTGTTTACAAAGTCGCCGTTTGCTTGGTGTTAACAAAATCAATAAAATCGGCGTAAACTGGCATTTCATTGACGGAGGCAAAGCAGCCCAGAGAATAAAAGTAATTGGTAAACATGTTTTTCGCGTTTACATCTCGCATGGCTGCATCGCAACAATGCGATTCATAAAAAAATATGCTCGTAAGCAA